GAGGGAGACTTGAACCCTTGACCTCAAGAAGGCAAAGCCTTCACAAGATAAGGAGTACTATTGGACCAAAGACCTGTTGGTGAATGGTTGACAAAGTTTTATTGTTGGGGGGGGGGGAGGGAGACTTGAACCCTTGACCTCAAGAAGGCAAAGCCTTCACAAGACAAGGAGTACTATTGGACCAAAGACCTATTGGTGAATGGTTGACAAAGTTTTATTGTTGGGGGGGGGGGAGTGAGACTTGAACCCTTGACCTCAAGAATGCAAAACCTTCACAAGGCAAGGAGTACCATTGGACCAAAGACCCGTTGGTGAATGGTTGGCATACTTGATTTTTGAATGTACATAAATAATACATTATCCAAGCATGCTAGGGCAGAAGAGAATAGGTTCAAGGATGAAGAACAAAGACGTATAACCATCAAGTTGTTTATTCCCTAATATTTCTCATTGTAATACACTCAACTGTGATTTACTAATATATACACTACAAATCAAAGATTGATTATCCTGATAAACAACGAGAAATAAACGAAAAAAAATATTTTTATTTTTTAATGTTTTTATATTTTTTTTAGTGAAATAAAAAAGAAAAATATGTATAATCATGCAACAACAAGACAAATAAAGCAATTACAATAAATCCTAAATTGAATGTCCAACTAGGCATCTGATGCAGCATGTTTAGCACACGATTACATGGCAGATCAACACCATCAAAAGTAGCATTGATCGGATGTCAATCGAGGCTAATTTTGGATGACAATGCCAGAAAATTCATTAAGACCTCATTCTGTAAGAATCTTGATGAGCCGAGCAAGATTAAAACTTATTTCTTTCAACCCATTCTTTTTAAGCCAAAAAATGATGTTTAGACCACTTTCTAAGTACTTTTATTTTCTACCCTGCTGTTTGAGGTATTTATTTAATATTTTGCATTAATGCTGGGGTTTCTCCATAATTTAGGACTGTTAGGGTTTAGTATTTAAAAGATGATGTGTAAGACTGAACCAGCAACATGGGTATTGTTTTAATAAACGCAGAGAGATTCCTCTTTTCTTCCAATTGACTTGGTATTCTTTGTGAATCAACAAGGCTTTTTGATGAATTTACTATGTAATTGTTGCGATAATCAACAGATTATAGTTTCCTGTTATCTAATCTTGTTTTCTTCACCATGTTGCCCTGTATTAGTTGGTATCAGAGCCGACACTCATTCCTGCACCATGCCGCCAAGAAGATGTTTTTCTATTATACAAGATGCCATAGTCAGAGATGTGTATGAGCGTGAGGAGGAAGCCAAATTATCTCAATAGTTTGCGGCATTAACCTAGCAGTTTGTTACGTTCATGACCCAACAAGAACGGGTTCAACCTTTGAATCTGCACCATGTGGTTGAGGAACCTACTGGTGATGATATTAATAACCCTTTTATTAAAGACCAGCCCTGTAGGGAAGGAGATGAGGCCTGTGGAAAACAATGGTGGTTCAAGACGATGGGAATCCGGTCTTAAAATTGATATCCCCGAATTCCGTGGTAGCTTGCAACTAGAAGAATTTTGGAGTGTCGATATTGTGGAGGTTGTGATCGAGTTTAAGGAGGTTCTTGATAATAAACATGTCCCATTCATCAAAACTCTATTCTATGAATGGGCTATAGCCTGGTGGCAACAATCTAAACTGACACGAGTACAACAAGGGAAGAGGAAGATTGACTCATGGGAGAAACTCAAGAAGCACATGTGTGTTGAATTTTTACCCAATAACTACACGAGGATGATGTATTAGAACCTATAGAATTTACGTCAAGGGTCTCGCACAGTGGATGAGTACAATACAGAGTTCCATCAATTGGTGGTCTGTAATGATCTGGCAGACATAGCAGACTAACTAGTATCGTAATATATTAGACGTATGTGATCCCAATTTCAAGATACCCTTAATTTATTTGATTCTTATTCAATTTTTGATGCACACCAACAAGCACTATAGTTAGAGAAACAATTGAATTTCAAAATGAGCAACATTGCCAATTGTAACAGTTCAAGTAGTTTTTGCAGTGGTGGAGGTGTCCCTTCTACTGCCCATATTGCTATGCTGCCACCACCTATGGTTGCAAAGCAACCTATTGTAGCGCGGAATACTAAACCCACGACAGTACTAGCGGGATCACATTGTTTTAAGTGTGGCAAGACTGGCCATAGGATAGAAAAATGTAAGAACAACGATAGGACTGGGAAGGGGTTGTTCGCTGATAGTGGAGACCTCATAGAGGATCTGACTGATGACTTTGAACTGAAGACAGTCAGTATTGAGAGGAGTGTGTGACAAGTGACTATGGGCCTCTAATTGTTGTCCGCAGGGCATGTTTTACACCTCGAGGAGGGGAAGGGGATATGTGGCTATGCAACAATATTTTCCTATCTACATGTACAATTATTGGGAAAATGTGCCACTTTGTCATTGATTAGGGTAGTTAGGAGAGTGTAATTTCTAATGAAGCTGTTCAAAAATTGGGGTTGGAGACGGAACAACACCCTACACTATACAATTTATCATGGCTGAAAAAAGGAAAAGAGGTAAGTGATTCTAAGTGTTGCATGGTATCTATTTGTATTGGCTCTCGATATAAGGATAAAGTATGGTGCGATGTTGTGACTATGGATGCCTGCCACCTTCTATTGGGGAGGCTGACTTGATCCGAAATGTATACACCCAAGTGCAGGCGGTCAAGCTATAGTAATAATCTGGTTAAGTCCAGAGTCGAATTCACAGGGAACTGTGATTGGTGTTCTGAAGTAAGTAGTGACAGAGACCAAGTAACTGGAAACCTTAAGAGTTTAAAGTTATAGGATTTCTTTGAATAGAATAGAAGATTCTTTCCAAAAGTTTTCTGGACAAAATATAAGATAAATTCAAATGTAAAATAATCACCCTTTAGCTTGAGGATCAGAACATGTAGTTGATCATCCGATTTATTATACTTGTGCTTTATAACTCAATTAATTTTCGTGTCAACAAATTAATCGGAAGATAAAGATGGATTTGAGAATTAAGCAAATGATTTCGATGCCTTTCTAGAAGTTTACAAGGATTTTCTGTGTCGAGATTTAACCCGTCTACAAACAAGCAAGGGTTTGTACAAGGCATCCAACCATGGTATTAATGTTCCATTCTTTAGATAAAGTACAATAATGGTGAAGATTGAATTGTTGTTATGAAGATCTAGCCGGGGGGTACTTGCCTTGAACCAACGGGTCTTTCCATGCAAGAGTCATCCGTGACATAGAAAGAACCCCTGGTTATACAAAGTACCTTAGCTTTGCTAGATGCAATCAATCATTCAATAAGCAAGTAGAACATAAAGCATTAAAGCATAAATGAAATGCACAAATATAACTTCTGGATAATTAATACATGTTCATCACTTCTTACTAAAGAGTGAATGAGGAACTACTCACTCTTCATGGCTTGGGTAAAGTTAGAAAAGTGAGTGATACTCATCCCTCCAAGTAGAGAACTTACAACGTAAAGTACAATAAACGAAGAGTTGATCTTCATCAAAGAAAAAGTGAATCACATTCCACCCTTCATGGCTTTGGTAAAGCTCTAGAAAAGTGGAAGAATTTTACTACTCTAAGAAAGAAGGAAGCTCAAGCAATGGAAGTGAAAGACATAAACAATGAAAGTAGGAGAAAGCTAGTCACTACTTGGAGGGTGGCTTCCGCAACCAACAAATAAAGGGTTGCTTCCTCAACTAACAAGTGGAGGGTTGCTTCCTCAACCAAAAGATAGAGGTTTGCTTCCTCAACCAAGAAATGAACTAACTCTATTGATACAAGTAATTATAACATACATCTAAGATTAATCAAAATGAGTTGGAGTCTAAG